AAGCAAATTAAAAGGGAAAAGGCAAGTGAATTTACGTGTAAATAAGTATACTATTATAAGTATATTGTATACTATTACAACATACTGTTACAATATATTGCATATTGTTACAGTATACTATAACAATATATTGCATACTATAATAGTATACTGTTACAGTATAACTATATACTCCTATAGTATACTGTTGCAGTATAGCTATATACTCCTACAACATATTGTATATCGTAGCAGTATACTATTGGGTAGTTGTGTTCTTCTTCGATTTTCAGCTGAAAATTTCGATCTCAATCACCTCAAATCAGCTCCAAATGCTATCAAATTTCAGTATGAATTTCCAGAATGTAAAGCAATATTTAATAGTACCCACTTTGAATCAAACAAGAAATCTTCAAAAATAAAATTTTAAATTTCAAACAAGCAATATACCATTTTGGTATACAGTACAAATCTGTCTTCTTTGCTAGTTCAACTCAATTTCAACCCAAAGTTTAAAAATCTAGTCTAAAATCTCTACCAAATTGACTCAGAATATAGCCACTTCCTCCAACTAATATTTCGAACATACCCAGTCAGAATCGGATCAAAATAACCACAAACTCAACAAACCCAATTTATGAGTTTCAAGCTTCAAGGTCCTCCAATGGCAGATTAATGTTTGTCACAGTTAAATCTTCAAAAAATCATCATTAACACCAAAACTTGCCACAAAGAGTGTCGACAATTAAAATTTGTTATTACATACATAACCTCACAAATTTGTAGCAAACTGAAATCTTAAAATTTTTTATCCTTTTTTGATAGATCTTTCGTTTTTAGCTTTTTTTTTTTTTGCTGGGACAAATGATAAAGATAGGAGAGAGAGGTAGATAGATCATATATCTAATGAAAAATTGTAAGGATATTGGCAAAAGGAAAGAAAGAGAAAGAGCACAGAAAATGATAAGAAAAGAAAGCAAAAAGGAGGAGAAAAATTAGCTTTAACAAGAATAAAACAGGAAGAAGGATTAACCGGGAATTACTTTTGGTTGCATAGGTATATATTATAATTATTTTCAGAATAGGTAAAGGCGGGTAATTATTTTTGCTAAAATAGGTATATAACATAATTTGCTCTTATATATAATAATGCCTTCTTTAGGGGATGAGGGAGTATAAAACTTTTTTTTTTTTTTTTTAATACAAAAGATCATACAGTTTACGTCTAAAGTGAGAAGCCATGCGCTCTCTCATTGCTTGACCAAAAGGAAAGCGATTTCTTCATTCTCAATCAACGAATTTCAAAACTCAGCTCATCTCCCCCTTTCTCTATTGTTTATGAAAATATGTTCTCTTAAATTTGCAGCTAAAGCAAGTCATCCAATCATTCTATAAATCTAGTCCTAAATTATTAAGATCGAAATAATCAACTGTTAGTAATCAAAAATCAGAGTAGAGAAAGAAATATAAAAAAGAACGAAAACGTTTAATGTTAAGAGAATATAAAAGAGAGTACAAAAGTATCTAAGATAATATTTAAAACTTGTATTTACATTAGGATGCCGCTAAATGAAAAGAAATGAACTTCAATTTATATAAAAAAATTCATTACATTTTCTTCCAATACCGAATAAGGAAGATTTATACTTTCCTTTTAGAAAAAGGGCCCAAAACAATTATGGTAAATGTATTGTTATTCCATAGAAAATTAAAGTAGAAGAAAACCCCAAACGTGGTAAGCATCTAGCATAATCACCCTTTCTCTTTTTTCCTTTTTTTTTTCCTTTTCCTCTTAATAATTACACGTCAAGTTCAAATCCTTCTTTCTACAATTAGTTCACTTTTCAGTATCTGACAACGTAACATCCTGTACTTCAACCATGGAATTTTTAGCTTTTATCTCTGTTTTCTATCTTGCAATGGTTGTTGTCTTGATTTCTCAAGTATTCTTCAAGATGAATCGAACGGTTAAGATTGAAGATCAATCAACTCCTTCTGTATATGACTCCTCAGTTGATCCTTCTATTTTACAAGGTATGTTCCTCTATCTTCATACATGTATAAATATTCATGTTACATTGATCGTAAACGGGTGCCTAACTCACATAACACGTGTTGCACTATTACCACTAGACCAAATCCCGGCATCATATCTTTCTGTTGTAAATTTCTGTCATATGTGCTTTCTCTTTTTCTTAGTTGTTCTCTAAAGGGAGCTTTGACGTAACTGGTAAAGTTGCTGTCATGTAATCAGGAGGAAACAGCCTCTTGCAGAATGCAGGGTAAGGCTCCGTACAATAGACCCTTGTGGTCCGGCTCTATCCCGGACCCCACGCATAGCGGTAGCTTAGTGCATCAGGCTGCATTTTTTTTTTTTTGTTGACATTTTTAACTAGTACTATTATGAAGCTAGATTTGAAGGAGATAGCATCAATGATTGAGAGTGGAGCAAATACAAGTGAAGTAAGTAAGATATACAAGGCTATGAGATTGACCATGAAAATCAGGAGGAAACTAAAGGTTTCAATATTATCTACTTTGTTGAATTATGCTCTTGGCCCTGTTTCTGAGGTCCATGCACAACTAGCTTCATACTTGCGCCAGGTAAATTAGTGCTTAGTAAATAGCAATTTGAATGTTGAACTTGGAAATAAACATAAAAATCCACCATTTTCTACCTGTCTTTTATGTACAAAGGCCCTACTTATTTTCTCATATAACCATTCTTCTATTTGGTAATCTTGCTTAATTGTTTGACATGTACGTGTGTGTGCGCAGAGGCGGATCCATGATTTTAGGTTTATGGGTTCCTACAAAAATCTGAGCTAATATACAATATTATATTAACTTGATGAACGGACTGGGTTCCAAGCTAAATATTCCTATATATTTAATGAATTTTTCAATACAAATACAGGTTCTAGACAAAAGCTACTGGGTTCACAGGAACCCATAGCTATTGAACTGAATTTGCCCCTGCGTGTGTGTGTCGATATGTAATATCTCTGCTCTATGAATTCTTATATGGCCTTTAGCAGGATAAAGATGACACTCAAGTTGATGTGGAAATGTCTGAAACTGAAGCCCATTCAACACATCTGGTGCCTGAGCTTGAGATCTATTGCTACTTGCTTGTTCTAATATTTTTGATTGATCAGAAGAAATACAATGAGGTGAGTACAAATGGCTAAACTCTCGTATATAAGGATATCTCTACTCAACTTCATGAATTACTGCGCATTTGTTTTACCTTCAGGCTAAAGCTTGTTCCTCAGAAAGTATTGTTCGTCTAAAGAACATGAACAACATAACTGCTGATGCTCTTCCATCGAAGCTCTACTTCTACTACTCTTTAAGTTATGAACTTGCTGGGAATCTCGCTGAAATTCGAGGGTAAGTTTGTTAACTTTTATTTTTATTTTTTTGGCTATTACTACTGTGTTCTATCTAATACAAACTCTTCTTTACTAACAGTAACCTGCTTGCTTTGTACCAAACTGCAACAGTACGCCATAATAAGTTGAGTCAGGTATGTGAAATATTTGATTCATGTCTTTGGTGTTTGTTATATATTGAAAACTGTTATAGTTTATTGGCTGGTTAAATTGCAGGAAACACTTCTCAATCTGTTACTGAGAAATTACCTTCACTACAACTTGTATGATCAAGCAGAAAAATTTCGCTCAAAGGCCCACTGTGTTGATGCTCTTTCAAACCAACAGGTATGTTGTCTATTTGCTTATGGTTTTATTTATTTATTTATTTTTTTTGCACTAACGGTGCAAAGAATTTACTATTTTAACATGTTGTAGCATGTAACATGCGTTATTTCCGAGGTTACTAATATCACTTCTTGTGAATTATCGGCGTTTAAATCTCACTACTTGTCCTCACAATGGCTTCCTCTTATTTGCATTGCCTTTTCTGTTTCTTTCAGTTCTGTCGATACCTCCTCTACCAGGGAAAGATCAAGACAATTCAGTTGGAGTACACAGAAGCCAAATATTCTCTTCTACAAGCTGTGCAGAAAAGTCCAGTAATTGCAGTTGGTTTCCAAATACAATGCAATAAGTGGGCTATTATTGTCCAGTTATTGCTTGGAGAGATCCCTGAGAGGACTGTATTTACACAGAAAAGAATGGAGAAAGCACTGAGGCCATACTTTGAGCTAACAAATGTAAGTATAGGAGGATCAAAATTCAAAAGCATTAGGGGGCCAATATATAACTTTGACTTATTCTGAGCTTTATAATTGATTTTTGTAATATTTGTCTTTGCAGGCTGTTCGTGTCGGAGATGTAGAGTTATTTAGAACAGTAGCTGAGAAATTTTCCAGCACATTCAGCCAAGACAGAACAAGCAACCTGATTGTTAGACTCAAGCATAATGTCATTAGGACAGGGCTTAGAAACATCAGCGCTTCGTACTCTCGTATTTCACTGGCTGACATTGCCATGAAGCTAAACTTGGATTCTGAAACTCCAGTTGATGATGCTGAAACCATTGTAGCCAAAGCAATTCGAGATGGTGCAATTGATGCCACATTAGACCATGCCAATAGATGGTTGGTATCAAAAGCAACTGGGGATGTTTACTCCACAAATGAGCCTCAAATTGCTTTTAACTCAAGAATTGCCTTCTGTCTTAATATGCACAATGAGGCTGTCCGTGCTCTTCGATTTCCACAAAATTTGAGAAATAAACAAAGTGTGGCGACGTAGAGAGATGCTTTTTAATAGAATCAACATCTTGCAGGAGTACCATTTCGAATTAAGTTATATATACTGACAATGTGAAGAATTTCTACAGTATCAATGCGATTTAACTTGATATAGCAAGTTGTTATTCTATTTCTAGGTTATCATATCAGAGTTGCTATGAAAAGTTACTCACTCTTGTGGATCAACTTGATCTGATAGTTTTTGAACAATTTATACAAAATCATTGCACAAAACTTATACTTTTATCGTTTAAATTTCCAGTAATTATGGGCAACATGTTTTGCATTTTATTTCTTGAAAGAATTCCAAACGAAAAATATCTTTTACTTAAAGCAAACACATCTGTCTAGCAAGTACATATGACCCAACAAAACCAGTAACCCCCTACTTCACATGATATTTATTTTGGTTATTGTCACGAGGGAGCGAATTTGACAAATATCCTTCAGTACCTCAAGATGTTCAAATAAACTTCGAAGTCTATATGCAATGAAGTAGAGGAGTTTGCACAAATATGCTCTTCACTCTTACTTTCTCCACCGGCTTGGGGAAGAGCTACACTGGAGTGCCTTGCAAAATGACTCTGAGAGCAGTCATTCAACCTGCTGAACTCAGACCAAAAGACTTGACGATAGTGCTAACCCTTTCAGCAAAAGTTCTGGATGTTATCTTCTTGCCAGGAACATGAAATGGATTTGACACAGCATCAACATATGCGGCATGAAATTTCCTGAAAAACTGTAAATAATTTCCACCAAAAAGATTAAGCAAGCTGCTATGCTAAAGGCTGACTATCACATACATCACACCAAAGAAACATCTGAAACTTAATGTGCTTCAACAGTGTTTCTTCAACATAAAGCCATTGATATTGTTCAGACAAAGTATTCCCAATTTCCCTCATCCCAATTTTCATGTAGACGTACTATTTAACCAAATTGCAGGATATATCTTGTTTGCAGTATTCGTTCATGATGATAACAGTGCTTTTCTGTTTTACATTGGGAGACTGGATAGCCATTCTTTTCGTGGCATAAAATACATTAATGTAGTTTTACTAACGAGGGACCACCTTACTGTGGAAGACTGACCCTTGGGCAAAATACAAACTGGTTTAGCTGTTTCTGCAACATATCACTCTAGCAACCTGGGACACTATCTCTTAGCAGTTCAGACATGAGTAAACTTTGGTTCTACGTTTTTCTACGTAACTTTTTCCTAAGTGCACTTATTTGTACGGATGTGATAACAGTAATATTCTATCATTGCTTCACCGTGTTAAACATAGGAGCTATGTCTTCACCCTTTACATGAAAGTTTTCCAATTTGAGGAAATAGCTAATGTTTATATTTCTCTTAAATATTGAAATAGCTAATGTCTAGATGAAGATATGTTAACAGCATACCATCATAAAAGAAACCTATCCTAATGAAGTACAATGGAGAGTCCGCAAAATTGTAGTTCCCCTTCTGTTTCAAGATACCAGGTAAAACTGGCTCTGACTTCTTTTGCCACACACACAGAGACCCACATTTATATACGGATCCACTTGATTTTAGAGAACAAGACAGAACAGCCTCAGACGGACACCGCGAAGAATGACTATATCTGAGAGTTCATCAAAGAGTTACCAGGAACAGGAATGTGAAGGAGACAAGACATCAAGTGTAACAAGATGCACTATTAAAGGATCTGAGACACGAGGGGTTATATTTGTCCGCGTTATTTAGCTGCAAGTTTTGCAGAATATACCTAAATGGACCAAGACAAAATTTTCAGATACTTATTTTCTGTCATAAGCAACAAAGAAGAAAAAAACCTTCCAATAACTTGGTATTTCCGAAATACACATCAACTCAGAAAAGACGAGAGTAATTCCACTTCTTTCAGATTTTTATCAACCTCGGATCACTAAATTTATTATTTTAACACAAGAATGCATTATGCTTCAATAAGAGCAGATATGTTGGTTTGGAACAGAGAAAGAGGAAGTAGTCAACCAATGTAAGAACAAAACAAGGAGAAATCAGCACTTACATTTCTCACATCAGCATCTCGAACATCAAGATCTGTTGTGACCAATATGAGTTTCACCTTTGTATTAGTCAAACAACCATACCTGAAAGATATATAATAGCACACGGAGGAAGACAGGCTTAAATGTCAGTGATCTTTTATATTCCCAAAAGGCTATGTAAGTGGACTCTGGTACTATGTTTCATATTCAGTGCATCATAAAAAATAATATGAAGCAGCCACACCACACCATGCCCATTTTACGCAGATACATGAAGGCAAATCAAGAGTTAAGTATTACTCACACTTTGTAGTTTTCAGTTGGATATAGCAGGCCAAGAAATGTCTCGTTTAGGGTGGGGCTGGATTTTTTTGGATTGTTCACTGTAATAAGCAACAGATGAGTTGTCAAAAAGAAACCAGATGCTAACCGAGTGTCAAGATATGTTAATTAACTAAGTTTCCACTAAAAGGAATATTGGGCTACAAAATATACAAGGTCATAAAGTACAATCAAGCATAAGAACTCAATAGGTCCAGTAGTAGGTAGTGAAACAGTATGTTGTTTAGTTGTCCGACTGTCCAATATTCCCTGATAACCCTAAGACTTTAGTCATGAAGCTGCAATAGGTCATGATCATGATTTTGTTTAGGATAAACAGCTCCAGCAGCTTCTTTTAGTTTCCACACGATACAATACAAGAACCAAATCTAACAAGTGTATGCCTTGCCAAGAGACTTAAGATACTAAAGTTACTGCTGCCATTCAGTAATGTAAAACCTAATAGTGGTCCACTATGATTAACTTAGATTAATTTAATTGCATTGGTCAGAATAAGTAAAAATTCAAATTAAGAGTAATGAAGACAGCTTCTTTAGTCTCAGAACAGCAGATACCAGTATCAATCTACCCATTTTTGACCCATATCTTACTGAAAATACTTTGCTTTACAATCTATGGAAGAATCTCCCGTATGAACTAAAACTAATCAGCTATGACTAGTTCTAACTATGCACATTTTGCCTCAAAACTTTCCAAATCCATACAAATCATAGCTAAATCAAGTTTTTTTTTTATAAAGCTAAATCGAGTTTTTTCTCTTATAGCGAAATCGAGTGATGCGAAATTTTAACGCGTCAAATCAAATGATATACTAAAAAAATAAGCTAGATCAGCAAAAACAGATGATGAATAAGAACCTCTTTCATCGACAACATCAAGGGAGCAATGAACAATGTGATGAAGCTTTAGGGCATCATCTGCTTCGGTGAAGCTCTGTATATAAAGCGGATTGTTCTGTCCATCGGACGAAAATCAATAAAATTGCACAATATTTGGCTTATTCAGTTCTAAAAAGAAGAAAGAGATAGAAAATTGAAAGAAAAGAAACGAGTTTCTGGGGGAAAATGGGAGTACCTGGTGACCGACGACGGCAACGCAAACGATCATCTTCTCCGACGGGAATCTCACTGGTAAGAAGAGTTTTACAGTGTTCCCAGCTGTGGAAATCTGGTAATTCAAGGGACAAAAAATTATCAGTCCTTTTTTTGTTTAACTTAGGATTTTTCAAAAATATTTAACAGTATGTCCTTTGAAAAATCAATTTGTTTTTCTTAAACTAACATTTATTTGTTATAAATACAATTTTATTTATGATAAATGTCTATATTTAGAGAGATTCTAGGGTTTATTACTTGGTGGCTAAGTCACCAGGGTTCTATTCTATTGTAATTCATCCAATATCAATAAGAATTCTTGTCTCTACTTTTCTCTACAATACTCTTGTTCTTCATTTATTGTTTTATAACACGTTATCAGCACGAGACTCTAACCAATTGAGTAGAAGCTTTGGGATTGAGCATAATGACTGTCAATTGTTCCATGAGATTTAAGGTAAGTATTTTACCGTATTTTTCTCTTTTATTCTATAATTTGATTTAAATACAAGCAAAGACAATAAAATTTGATTATAAGTCTAATGGAGTTAGTAAGAAATTATAACCACTCGAAGTGGTAAAATTTCTATATCTTGCCATGATCAAATTTATGTATGATTATGGGCACAAGAAGTGCATACCCGTCCCATTGAATTTGCTTCATTCTCATTCCCTTAAGAGAATGTGATAGCAGGATGTGATAAGTCTGAAAGAAGACAAAATTATTACCGTGAAGGTATCAATGAATGTGGACGTGGTATTAGACGAAATTATAATCGTCATCATTGTGATAATGAGAATAATAAGGATTCTAATAATCCTTCACTCTGTGAAAGTAATAATTGTCATTGATTTGACATGAGATTTTATATAGCACATATAGATGATTATGGTCCATTCATGATGTGAATGTGACAACATCTAATTTATGAATACATATTCATTCTTCAAAGAATATGAACGTGCTAGTGGTAGTGAATATACCACACTCATCTCTAGAAGGAGGTTTGAGATGATATAGGTAAATAATGCCATTATTATGACATGAAGTCATTGGTCACGTACCTATTATACGCCAAAATATTTTGGCAATGTGATTATTAAAGGACAACAATAATGCAAGAAACATATCATGCATATAATTTTGACCATGACCATAATGGTATAACTTTCTCCTTGAAAGAGATATATGACCATATGGATGTTGATGAATATGTGGTAGTACAAAATTAATTGAGAGTTCTGGAAGAGCCAAGTATCACTATTTTGGAAAAATAAAATTGATTATCAATAAGATACTGTGTTGTAGTAAGTCTCAAAGAAACTTATTTTGTTTCCGAAGTATACGCGAAAGCGGTTGATTATGTTGAGACTATAAATAAAGGAAAGATTTAATATCTTCTATTACTACAACTTGTAGCGGGATAATATGTATGTGAAAAGCTACCAGCGTTATTCTCCAGTTTGTACTACACAAATAAAAGAATACCACACTAAAGTGGATGTTTATTGACATAAAAACCCATAACATAATAAACTTGGAGTTTATTGATGATTGCACACGTCATGGTGTAAACCTGAAGTTTATCAATGCTGATAATTTATTCAGTTGGCATAATTGGTTTAGCCATATCAATTTAAGTATGATCTGCAAAAATAATAGAGAATTCACATGGGTAAATATTAAAGAACTAGAATGTTCTTTACGAATTCCCTTATATTTCTTGTTCCCATTAATTAATTGACCAACTAAAATTGGGATTGAATCACATGAATGCTGAAAATATCAAAGGTGAATATGGGCTCATTCATCTGCCATGTATACCACATAAGATGCATCTATGAGATGGTTACATGTGCGATTATTATTAACCTGCAACATGGTGTTTGCGAGGTAACTTGCTCAATAATTTAATTTAGAGCATAATTTCCAGAATTTTAACTCAAGATAGTTCATCTTGATAAATTGGTTTACATCACAGTTAGTTTAGCAAAATAATTTATTGAGTGCCTCCACTTAATAGCTAAACTATTACTTATGAGAACAAAGTTATCTATATCAGTTTGATATAGGTTATATACGAAAGTATATTACATTCTCCCCTCACAAGTGGTTCAGGGTTAGGAACCATTTCCATCTTATTATTATTGATGTGCGGTGTATATTTTGATTAACACCTAACGCACAAAGATGGGTTCTCAAAGTTGAGGAAACAAGTTAGTTTTTCTAACATGAGGGGGAGACAAGATACAACAGTTGAGAAAAAGTTACATGGAATGAATTATCATTTATACATCTAGATCCTCGAATAAAATAATATGAACTTGAAGTTCATAAAAGGATAATTTATGTGCAATTTATTGCAAAGCATGCCAGACGCATTTGCTGACCCAAAGAAAGTAACTATATTCTCATTGCAAATGCTCCTATTAAGTCCTAAAAGGACAAAGTTTATGGTAAGCTTAAAGCATATAGACAAATCGGTTTCAAATAAACTTCTTGATAAAGAAGATGAGAAAATGATCATAATAAAGGAGGCAAGTGATCTAGAAGATCACATGACATAACACTTCATAAAATCTCATGAGAGATTCAAGTACCTGAAAATATAAATGAAGAGATCTCTATGTTATGTCTTTATGAAAAAAAGGAGGTTGGAACCAATATAAAATATTCGTCGACGACATCTATGAAACCACTAAGTATAGATGAGAATTTTAAGTCTGTTGAATACAGACACAAAAATATTGGCCAAATAGAAGAGACACAATTCAAATAGAATTGATTTCATATGAAAGACATGTAGTTTTGAACATGTAGTTCAAACACTTGAAAGTATAAAGTCAATGGTATGTGCAATCAGTTTTCGATATCTTATATGTCTAGCATGACATGAAAACTTGATATGCATCTAAAGTCTATTATATGGCTTATATGACTTAACAATCCCTGAAGGATTTAAATTGCTTAAAGCATATAGAATTCATAATCATGAAGTACTACATACTCAGTGCAATTTGTGCACATGTGTCTTGCTATAACTATATGCATGATAATATGATAGCAAGAGTTTTCACCTCTATGTGAAGATATTGAACTCACGATTCCAACAAGATCATATGAAGACAATTCATCTCTATCAAGAATGATGATTCCAAGGTGCAATATATTCATTCAAGTTAATATGGCTGATTTGTTCATCAAATCTCTACCAAAGATCTTTTGAAGATGGTGCACAAGACTGGAATGCAAATGCTTAAGGATGTGAATTGATGCTTTCATCAGGGGGAGTTAATACGCATTGTACTCTTTTTTTCTTGCAAGGTTTTTAACGAGGCAACCAAAAGGCGTATTGTAGATATGTGTACTCTTTTTCCTTCTCTAGAATTTTTTTCCCACTGGGTTTTATTTTAGTTAAGGTTTTAACGAGGCACATTATCTGTTGAATAGACATTCAAGGGGGAGTTTTATAAATAGAATTTTATTTATGGTGAATGTCTATATTTAGAGAGATTCTAGGGTTTATTACTTGGTGGCTAAGTCACCCTCTCCCTATAAATAGAGGGTTCTATTCAATTATAATTCATCCAGTATCAATAAGAATTCTCTGTCTCTACTTTTTTCTGCAATGCTCTTGTTCTTCATTTATTGTTTTATAACATTATTTAATTACTTATAAGCTTGTTATAATTACTACTTTTATGCAGTTTTAAGTAAGTCCTTAAAATAAAGGATTATGAAATAAATGGCTGAATTCAAATGTTTGACGGTTTATTCGGACCTATTAACTTTTTAGAGTTTAAATTTTATGCATTAAATTTTATAGTGTTTATTGACCTTGAGAAAGCGTACGATAAAGTCGCGAGGGAGGTCCAGTGAAGGTGTTTGGAAGTTAGCGGCGTTTCGGTAGCGTATATTAGGGTGATTGAGGATATGTATAATGGTCCTAAGACTCGGCTGAGGACTGTGGGTGGTGACGCAGAGCATTTCCCTGTTTTGATGGGGTTGCACCAGGGATCGACGACACATGCAAGGGGAGGTGCCTTGGTGCATGCTATTTGCCGATGATATAGTGTTGATTGTCGAGACGTGAAGCGGAGTTAACGCGAGGTTTGAGGTTTGGAGACACGCCTTGGAGTCCAAAGATTTCAAGTTGAGCAGAACCAAAACAGAATACTTGGAGTGCAGTTTCAGTGACGGGACCCGTGAAGCAGACGTAGAGGTAAAGCTTGATGCTCAAGTTATCTCCGAGAAAGCTAGTTTTAAGTATCTCGGTCTATTATCCAAGGTAACGGGGAGATTGACGAAGATGTCGTCCATCGCATCGGAGCGGGATGGATGAAATAGAGGCTCGCTTCTGGTGTTTTATGTGATAAGAATATGCCGCCAAGACTTATGGGTAAGTTTTATAGAGTGGTGGTTCGACCGACTATGCTGTATGAGACTGCGTGTTGGCTAGTCAAGAACTCCCACGTGCAGAAGATGAAAGTAGCAGAGATGAGGATGTTGAGATGGATGTACCAGGAGAGATAAGATTAAGAATGAAGCTGTCCAGGACAGAGTGGGAGTAGCCTCCGTGAAGGACAAGATGCGGGAGTTGAGGCTGAGATGGTTCGGACATGTTAAGAGGAGATGCATTGATGCTCCTGTTAGGAGGTGTGAGAGGTTGGCCATGGCGAGTTTGAGAAGAGGTTGAGGTAGGCCTAAGAAGTGTCACACCTCCTTTCTACTTACTACACCCCGTAAAGGGTATAATAAAGGAGTTTTTCCAATTAAAGGACAATCGAAACGGGATTCGTTTATTAAGAAGTTCAGAGTCGCCACATGGGAGATTTATGGTGTCCCAAGTCACCGGTTTGAATCCCGAATCGAGGAAAGGGTTTGACTCTGTTTAACAATCGCGAACCAGAAATCCGGGTAAGGAATTCTGTTAACCCGGAGAAGGTGTTAGGCATTCCCGAGTTCCGTGGTTCTAGCACGGTCGCTCAACTATCATATTTGGCTTAAGTCTGATTTTAATTCATGTCATCCTATAGTGCAATTTTAAAAATATTTAACCGCTTTTAATTAGTTTTTATGAAAGTGAACGTCGTTTAAGAACATATTTTTGGATCACGTCACATGAAATGCA